GCTAACCAAAAGGTCAGTCATTCAAACTCACCAGCTGCTTTGCAGGAGAAAGATGAGGCAGTCTGCTTCTGTAACGATTTACAGCCTCGGTAACCCTATGGGCAGTTCTATGCTACCCTAAAGGGTCTCTATGAGTTGGAAATGACTCGATGGCAGTGGGTTTTTTTTTATGAGGACTGAACAAATATTAAATGAAGATACACTTCTGCCCTTACAGACTCAGTGTATCTGTGACTAGATGTGTTGCAGCAGGTGCCTTAGCCAAACTAGCTAAGGAGGGCTAGCAGTCGCGTCTACTGACCAAAGACAGATCATTCAAGAAACAAACTTTCCCAAAGCACCTTTGTCCTTAAGTGATTTGTCTCTCCCCATTCAGGCCATTAGCTGATCCTCATGTCTGTCTGACCCTAGAGCCCATCTCTAACCTGTGCTGCAGCAAGGATGCAGCAGCATGAAGAGGTGCTGGGAGATGGGGTAGGGGTAGGGCCAGGGGAGCAGAAACCAGGCATGCTGCTCCCTAACACTGTGTATCATATACAAATAGGCTTTGTCTAAATGGAAGAGTTTACATTTCTTGTGATTCCCTTTCAGGGTTTTTTTTTAAGACCCATGGTGAGATCTGTGCCAGGTCTCCAGGCAGACTGTTTCAGTCCTGTCTCTGCCTTAACTAACTGTGACCCACCCGGGACCCCTTACTTAATTACCTAACCCTTCTGGCACTTCACTCTATTATGTAAACGACAAATAATCACAAGGGTGCTGTGCTGATTAAACATGTTAGTGTTTCTTAAAGCCTTAGAACAATGCCTGCTACAAGTAAATACTAAAACCCAGCTATTTGATAAACTGGTCATTCTAAAACATTCAGTCCTGTATCTCAAATTACTGGTTTTCCAGACTCATTCCCTTCCTTCTCAAAACCCCACAGACCCAGACTCCTCCATTACTCACCTTTCTTTGCTAATTTTTTCCCTGGTATGACTGTTTCTCCTGTCCTTGAGGTTGGTAACGCTTTGTATCTTTAACACTCGCCACAGTCCGTCAGCAGGTATATGTGGCCAGGCCTGTATGTTGCATGGTCTCCAACACAAGCCTCCTGAGGACTGCTCCAGAATCACCCAGGTGCAGAGGCTTTAAATAGACTGTATGAGACCAGATGGTGAACATTTACTGAAAGGCAAAGATGCAAAGACAAGGAGGGGCAGGGAAGCTAGATCAATGGAAACAGAGCAAACAGAATGGAAGTTATGAGAATGCTGACATGTTGTGAAAACTGTAACCAATCACATGGCACACTTCGTATAAAAATTGTTAAAGGGGAGCCTAATTTGCTGTGTAAACTGTCACTCAAAATACATATTTAAAACAAAAATGTAGGTCATACAACAGATAACTACCTCCTGACAACAGTATCTGTCAGTTACATTGCATAACATAGCTTCTTAATTTTTGGCGACTACAAGTTACTCTAGAACAACTCAATAAACTACAGAATTTAAAAAAATAAAAATGCCACCTCACCAGTAGGTCTGGAATTGAAACTGGGTATCTGAAGGTTTAAGCTCCTTAGGTACGTCAGCCGAGCAGTCAGACCTCAGAACCACACTAAGATGTGGAGTATCCACAGGGCAGGGTCAGAGGCTTACTTGTTTTTCTGTCCCCCCTACAAAACCTGAAGTTGTACAGGCACTTAAAGTGGATTTTGAAAAAAAAGTTTTCCTTGTCTGAGCACTACACAGGCCTGAGGGCCTGATGACTATAGGGCACATAGGCAAGAGACTACGGAGCAAAGAAACTAACGTGATTCTGGCACTTTTGGTGGTGCGGAAATCTGCTGGTGGCCATACACACCACCGCAAAGTGTTGCTGCCTTTTATGTTGCTCATGACAAACTGTAATGCCTGTTCTGGAAGCTGCTCCACTTCAAGCAACCTAAGAGAGTATATTTGGTTTGTGAACATGAAGATGTGACATGCTTACGCCTGTGCCTGACAGGAGTCTGGCTGACCACATGCTGAAACTTACACACTTGAGGGCTGCCAGCTTCTGGCATGTTTATACTTCTAAGGACACAGGTCCAGAAGGGTTGACTAGGCAGTGCGGGTACATGGCAACAGTTTGACAGACTCTAGTTCCTGCCATCTTTCCCTTCGTGTGGCTGGGGACCTCAGCTTGGCACACATACAAGGATTATGGGCAACTCAGCCTTTTAGGACGGAAGCACCAAACATCTGCTGACCCACAAGAACACTACAACTAGTTTCTAGGCTTTGACCTTAAACTCAAATCTTGAGTTTTATGTAACTAAATCTAAGGCTTCTTGAATCACTTATAGCAGTTTTTGGGTTTTTTTTTAAGGATAGACATCTATGCTAGGCTAACATGAAACTAAACAATGGCAGTTACCTTATTGTTTCCTGCATGTCAAACACCATGTAAGCCCTTCACGTGTATTAACTCTTAATATCCAAATAGTCCTATGAAATGGAACTCTACTAGGCATTCCCCATCACAGGTGAGGAAGTGGAGGCATAGAGAAGCTGTGTAACTTGGCCAGGTTACAGAACCATCACGCCCAGAGTAGGAACGTCATGTAGGGTTCTGAGCACATTCTCATAGCCTGCCTCTCAGCGTGGTCTTTTACCCAGACTGATTCCCAATGGAGCGGCAGACAAGGCTGGCTGCAACAGGCAGAGAATGCTCAGCTAAAGCCTTGTCAAAGGTCAGTTCTTACTTTACTCATCTTGTGAGAATGACTTAACCTAATTCTAAGATTTTAAAAAATGACACTTGTAAATAATAAGCAGTAACAGCTGTATTGTCACTTAAAACTGTTTCGTAGGTTCCTTTTGATTTTTTGACATTAGGTTTAACTATCTTGGCCTGCATTCTAACCAGTATTGGGCTATGAGAACTTCACTCTTTTATGACCTGTTGGACATAAAATGCCCACCTACATTTTCCACTTCTGAGGTTTTCTGGAAGCTGTTATTCCACTTTTGGTACATGCTGCCATCTGGTGAGGAGCTCTGGTAGCGTAGTGCCTAAGGCACTTGACTGCTAACTAGAAGACTGGCGGTTCAAGCCCACCAGCCACGCCTCAGAAGGAAGGCTGGGCAATCTACTTCTGTAGTGATACTGCCTCGGAAACCCAAGGAGGGGTCGTTGAGTCAGGTCCGACTCGACGGCACATTAACAACAGGAAGCCATCTGGTGGGGGCCTCTGAAGGGGGAGGGAAGGGAATGCATGCATCTGAAGAAACAGGCCTCAACCCACCAACCCTAGCACCAGAGACCCCTTTGGGACATATGTGTCCCCCTAGTTGTGTCAAAATCCAAAAAACTTTTTCATTTCATTCAAAGGCCTGCCATTACTGGGGGGAAAAAAAGTTTCAACAAAAACTTCAAAGCAGAAAATCATTTGGTCATGAAAGGGCTAACTCAGCATGGGCTGCTGAGCTACAGAACAAAGTCCCAGCAACAGTGGTCTCCTGGGGACAGGGCTGGCCTGCCACCAGAATGCCTTTGACAAAAGGCTGACTTGGAGCTGTCCCAGCCCTCTGAGAGCTGCCGAGGCATCCATGACCCAGCTTCAGCTGCCACCCCCAAGCACCCCCAGTGCCTCACCCCTGCTCAATGTCAGTTCTTCAAGAAGGCAGCAGAGAAAAGGCAGGGAGGGAAAGGGCAGGAGGGAGAGCTGGTAAAACAGGCGCACAGTTTGAGCTCTGTTCAGTACGGACACACAGTCAAACATGATCTCAAAGCTCTAATATTTAGGGAATGCCGTCTCTCTAACCTTAAAAACAGTTAAATTGTACCTGATCCCTACTGAGACATTCATTCATCTCCATCCTCCACAAAACAAGATTATAAGAGGAATACTATGTTTTAAAAAAGTTTTTATTTTAATCCTTCCTAGAGGAATACAGATTTGAATGAAATACATTCATTCCATAAATACATTAGCAGCAAAATCTTCCCACCAGTGTCCTCTACTCCCACCAGAAACTGTGCCTTAGAGCAGACAGCATGTTCTGTCAAACCTGTCACCTTCAGGCGGTGCCTGCTTCTTGCTGGAAGGCAGGAATGCATGGAGACAGAGACCAGGTGAACGGATGAATTACCTGATTCCTGACCCTGGAAACAGGGCCACTTGGTGAATATCAAGCCTTCTTTACCTTCCCGATCCTTTGCCATCCTCTGTGCTTCACAAGTGAGGCCCTCCGCCGCAGGGACAAATGGAGGACCTAACCTTGTGAATGCACCAATGCGCTGAAAATCACTGTTGCTCTGAAGACGAGCTTCTTTTCAATGATGAAGGGTGAGCCAAAGAGGAACATCAAAGCAATCCCTTACTCACCACTTTGTCAGGTTAAGTCCATGCGTACTTGTCATCAGGAGATAATCTAGCAGGCATTCTTTGGGCTCTCTATACCTCCAGGTCTCCTTCGTTTGAATGGCGGGGATTTTAATGGAGACAGAGAGATGTGTAAACCTAGAAAGGTTTCTATGTTACAATAACCAGCTGACTCACCCCAGCTTCCTGCAAAGCTAGTCTCCTAGACAGTGGCCCAGGTGTCCCTCCTTTTGTTCTCTCCATCACTGCCTATTGCCTGGACACTCCTTTTAATATATGCCTTCTAGGCACCTGCTGAAAATTTGGGAAATAAAATCTACCCTAAAACTCCCAAGAGTGAGTTTTGGTGATGGAATGAACTGCAGCCAAGCTCAGTAGCCAGGAGAGGGTAAGGCAGGTGCTGCTTTAAACTTGTTAGCTGCAGTCAAAGTCAGAAGGCTAACTGCTGGGTTCTAACTGCTCTGGGATGCTTTCATCAGAACATTCTTCTGTAAGTGCTTGATTCATTCCCATTCAGTCTGTTTTGACTGTTGGCTGGAAGGAAATCAGAAACCATTTTATATGAAAACCATTGTAGTGAATAACTGATTGTCTTTGTTTTCCCCCCTTTTCCATTTTCTATCCAGAACAGTTTGCTGCCTTTTTATTTATGTGCAGAGAGAGGCTCGTCTGCTGAATACACGGCACTGTTAACCCTACAGTCTTCTGTCCCCACAGAGTCAACCAATTCTTCCTCCTCCGAGTCCTCGTCTTCTTCCTCCTCTTGTGCAGATGAACTGGAGGTGGGCCCTTTGCAGGTTTTCAGGTGGCGGGTGAGGTGATACTTGGTTAGGTAAGCCTTTGTACATTTCTCACAGACATAATCCCGCTTCCCTTCGTGAGAATTGAGATGCTTCTTTAGGTGGTTTGTTCTCAGGAACAGCTTACTGCACTTGGGACACTTGATCTGGCGTTCTCTAATGGGAACAGAAGCAAAGAACGTTTAATTTTGGGGAACAAGGTCGAGGAACATTTCTTGTAACCCAATAACCCTCTCTGCCAGAAGTACCCACTAACTTGACTTCTATCACACTCATCTTCTTGATTTTCTTTATAGCTTTACTATGTATGCGTACCTAAACAGCATTAATTTTCCTGTTCTGGAATTGTATGGACATGGGATCGTACTGTTATGTATATCTTCTCTATCTTCCTTCACTCAATATGATGTTTGTAAAATTCATCCAAGTTGCTAGAGTATCACATTAGTAGTTTGTTCCCTTTTGTTGCTATATACCATTTACAAACATATCACCATTTACCTGTGCTACTGGATTTGTCTGTTGCTAATGGATTTTAAGGAGCTCTGGTAGTATAGTGCCTAAGGCACTTGACTGCTAACCAGAAGGCTGGCAGTTCAAATCCACAAGCCACTCCTCTGAAGGAAGGTTGGGCAATCTACTTCCGTAGTGATACTGCCTCAGAAACCCAAGGAGGGGTTGCTATGAGTCGGGTCTGACTCGACGGCACATAACAGCAGCAATGGATTTTGAGGTGGTTTCTAGATTTTTGTTATCATAGGCATGGTTGCTACTGATGTTTCTATACATGTATGTTGGTCTACACCTGTATAAGCTTCTACAGGGTCTAGGTATGCCCAGAAGCAGTATAGCTGAGTCAAGGATATACATGCTTTCAAATTTACCAGATGATGCCTTCTGTTTTCCAAGGTGGCTGTACCCATTTACATGTCTAGCAGCAGCCCTTTGAGAGTTCCTGTTGCTCTAGATCCTTACCAACAATTAGAACACAAAATTTGAGAATTTTTGCTAACTGGCCAGTAACATAATGGTATTTCACTGTAGTTTTAATTTGTATTTCCCTGGTAAGTACTTTATAAAATTGCCATTTTTCTTTCTCCTTTTCAGCCAGGCACAATTGTGTCCCACTGGGGACCCTCAGCAATAGCTAGAGCTTTTTTGATTACCAGAACTGGGGTAGAAGGAGAGACTATGGGATCTACTAGGTAGAGGCCAAAGAGCCTACTAAGCATCCTACGATGCATAAGGCAGCCCTCACAACAAAGCATTATCTGCCACAAAATGTCAACAGTGGCAAGGTTTGAGTAACTCTGGACTAGATATTTTAGAGCTAAAAAGAACTTTACAGATCATATTGGCCAAGGATTTTTTTTTTCTCTTTTTTATTAATGCATTTTATTGAAATATAATTTATGTACAGTGAAGTACACAAAACTAAAGTGACATGGGTCAATGCATTTTTTTTTTTTTTTTTTTCAGTGTTCCCTCTCCTCCCCTCCCACCCCTGGCAACCAACAAAGAAAGTTTCCCTCCATATAT